TGAATCAGAATCCACTCCATAGCAAGGGGTTTGTTGTTGCTTTGGGGTTTTTTTCCCTACTTGTAGTAGACTCTAGTGGTTTCTTCCAGGTAAAAGAGAACATAACATGGAGCCAGATGTAACTTTATGCAAAAATATCCCAAGGTTTTCTTAAAATGAAACAATAGCTTAGTTTAACTATTAAAAAATGTCTGCCATGAACATTGTTTTTTCAAAAGCTTGGGGTCAAATTGACAGTAGCAACTTTAAAGATTAAATAAGAACCTTAGCGAACAGTGTGAGTTTGTGACAACATACAGAAACTACTGTCCATTAGGGCAGCGGTTCTCAACCTGTGGGTCGTGACCCCTTTGGGGGTCGAATGACCCTTTGACAGGGGTTACCCAATGCATAACAGTAGCAAAATTACAGTTATGAAGTAGCAAAGAAAATAATTTTATGGTTGGGGGGTCGCCACAACATGAGGAACTGTATTAAAGGGTTGCGGCATTAGCATTAGGGAATTCACTCTAGATAGTAGATATGTTATTTTTGGTGATAGAAAGGATAACACTGTATGAGGGTGAAGTGTACACAGTTCGATGTAGGTAAATGAAGTTACTAAAAATGCACAAGTAAAAAGGACTCTTGTTAATAGCCAGGGCATATATGATTTGGGAAAAACAGCAACATCAACCCAAAATATATGTTCAGGTATATTATGAAAGGGCTTCAAAAAGTTTGTGGGGGCATGGGGCCCTAACCCACCCAAGGGGAGGTATTGTTTATATCTCCACAGGAAAAGAGGGACCAGATGTCAACCCAGTGCTCCAAGGTGTGAATGCAACATGCCGGCGCGGAGTCGGGAGCCAGTGGAGAGGTCTGGGGGGCTGGCCCCAGTCCCAAATACTAAGTGAATGCCTGCCCCTCCCCCAAGAAGAAGTTATTTCAAAGGACGGCACTGAATCCGCAGCTCCTGGAGAGAGACATATCTGATCGGAGCACACAGGAGCAGATAACGGGGAGGAGGAGAGACTGGAGCACATACTGGCCCACCAGGCCTTGAGGACGATGACCCCAATTAGAACAGCCAGTAACAGAGAGGACCACATGGCCAGCCCCACTATGGGACATGATGGCCCTCACTGACCCATGGCCCTGCGGGGGACAACACCAGAGATACAGTGTGGGAATAGCACCCGATCTGATCCCACCACACTGAGGCAAAGCACTGGGGGAGTGCGGCGGAACAGCAAGGGAATGGAGCATCAAGGTCCCCAGTGAATGCTAAAGGTGGACTTTGGGGCTAGGGCATGGTGCCCCAACAGACTGGACAGGAAAACACTCCTAAAGGCCAGTGATCCTTGAACTAACTACAAGCTTTTCTTTCTTGGTGTGTTTTTACTTGTTCTTTGTCAGTGGTCTGTTGTTGTTGCTGTTTTGTTGTACATTGTTGCTTGGTTTTGCTCTGTCTTGCTTTTGTGCATGTTGTTGTCTCCGCAGGTCTGTCTGGATAGGATAGGCTGGATGAACAATCTGGAGGAGAAAACAACGGGAC